AATGATGACAAGGCTGCACGTATAAAAATATTTTCTAATACTGAATTGCAGAAAAATGGCATGAAAAATTTAATCATTTTAGTTACACAGCAGTTACATTTAAATACAATTTTAAAATAAGAATAAATAAATTTGTACAAAATCAGATGTAAACTGCAGAAACATAAATGAACATGATAAAAAGAAATAATCATATTTATGTTAGGGCAATACAAAAATACTTTTTAAGATACAAATCTTATACTTGTTTCTCTCATTATATAAAAATAATAATAATAAAAACTTACAATGCCATTTTCAGCATATGGGAAAAAAGATACTTTTATTATATATTTAAAGTAAAATCCCGATTAATTATTTTTTGGGCAAATATGATTTATACTTGAATAATGTTTAAAACTGCTCAAGAAAAAAAAGAATGAAAATGCAATATTGCACGCCCCCCCCCAAAAAAAAAAAAATAAATAAATAAAGTAAAAACGACACGTCCGAGTTCAAAATCATACAAAGACAGCACAGTTATTTATAAGAATAAATAAGAAAAGAAGGTTTTTTTTCCCTGTAAGAAAGTAAATAAGAAATTACTAGTAAATCAGCAGCATGCAAATTTAAGGAAGCTATATCAGATTTGATTGAAAGAATGCCACACGATAGCAATTGTCATAAAAGTGGACACAACCTTCTGTTATGAAAAATTAATGCACACAATAAAATTAAGACACACATGTACATGTCAGCATATATGACTGCATGCTTGCAAATACATATCTTGCCATCAGGCATGAATTCAAAACATTCAGATTGACTGAATTGTACTCTGAATAAAATGTTCACAAGATTTTGCACTTCATGAAAAAAATCAGTACATTATACTGATATATTTAAAATTTTTATGTCTATGCGCCATCTGTATAAAAATAGAATGCTTTTGTAATTTTCGTCCCTAAATTAAACATATCTGAACATAAGACAACGTGATGTGTAAAGTAACAGTTTACTAGCCTATATTTGGTGACATGAATCTTGTAAATGCTTTTGATTTTTTAAAAATTAAATCAGTAAAAATTTGTGATAATCTAACAAAGTAACTTAGAATTTCAAGAGTGGATGCCAGCTATAACCAAATATTTGGAAGAAGGTATTTAGCAACAATTATTTTGTTTTGGAATTATCATAAAGCCAGAAATAAAAAATAACACTGTAGTGAAATTAAATATTAACATACACAAACAACAGTGCAAGCCAGCCCTCACAAGAGTTCCTAACAGTTACCTTAAAATACTATCTTCCAAAGAAAGAAATTTTACAAGGTTCATTTAAATTTCTTTAAACTCTTTTCATAGTTACCAAAATCTTCAATTCTCAAAATGCTGTTACACACAACATTGCATAGCAGCAATAAATAGTTGTACTAGTTTTCCTTACTGTTCTTTTATAAATGGCACTTATTTTTGGGGATGCTGAAGTAACTTTGAGGTTAATTTTTTAAGGAAAGCTAGTTGTTTTAGCATAACATTAGCTCTACAGGGCTGATCTTAGCAGGTGTCAAGATGGTGCTCAGTATGTGAGCAGCCAAATTTAAGGTCAGTAAATTAATTATCAAACATATTGTTTTTTGGTAAAAAAAGGGTGGCCAATGGGCTAGGATCAGTACTGGCCTTACGTTCCTATAACATCTTGAAAATTGAATCAACTCACAGCTGGTAGACAGTTAGTAGTTTTAATATTTCAAACTGCTGATGAAATTATCTCTTTAGAGAAAAATAACAGATGTAGAAGATATAAGAAGCTATATATATGTGTGCATACAGAACATTATATCTGTATATATATATATATATATATATATATATATATATATACAGATATAATGTTCTGTATGCACACATCATTGAAATTTAATGTTTAAAATAGTTTAAGCTCCAACTTTAAATCAATAATTGAAATAAAAAATGAAAGTATATGTAGAATATTAAGAAATCTTTCAAAAATTATTTACATAAAATATGAACATAAATTACCTAAACAACTCAACATTGGAATGTTATAACTTAGTTGCTATTACAGAAACCAAAATTTATTAAGAAGAATAAATTCATTCTTGAATTCAGTAAAAGTACAATTCAATCATGTATGAGAAATTTCACATGAGAGTACTGGATATAATAACATTACCTGAATGATTTCAAGTTAAAATAACAATTATTGGAGATGCTAAGACAACAAGTTATCAGCATGATATTCGTAAATTTATTGGACTAGTTTTGAACGTCTAAACATAGTATTTTCTTCAGCGGCAGAAATGCAAATGATGAAAGAGAAGCATGTGCCCAAGTGATAACGAAAGGAAGGATGTCAAACTATTGGAACCATCTCTTTACAAAAAATGAAAACACTTATGAAATAAATTCCTTATAAGATGAGGGTAAAGATGTATTGGAATTGGGTTATTAAATAGAACTGAAATATTTTTATGAATGTGAAAGAACTAGAAAAATTAATTCATTCATGGAAGATGTTTTTTGATTAATTTTAGCTGCTGAAAAATGGAAAATGTAATTCTCAGACTAATAGTACTGGGAAACAGAGCATTTATATGTTTCTTTCTTTTTTTCCTCTGCAACATAAGCTTCTTATTCCTTAGCACAAAACTGCACTTCTGTAACTGAAGAAGAAATTTCTATGTTCAAAGATTCAAAACTAATGCTGCAAATTTAGGAATATTATGCTGATTTTTTGTTGCCTTAACAACTCCAATTACCTAAATGAGTTTAAAAGGGGACAACAGCAGTTACACTATTATTCAGAAATTCGATGTGAATGCAGTGTCTGCCAAAAATGAATGGGAGCACTTAGTTGTTTATTGCACTTGTGTGGACTAAGTTACTTGATTGAAGGATAAAGCAATTAAATGAAACACTGAATTTTTTTCAATATTAAGTGCTTAGATAACAATTTACATTAAAGTAACACATTACAAAAAGGCTGTTTCTAATAGAATTAATTATTTGAAATAATAAAAGGTAAACATTCCTTTTTTCTTAATTAATCAGGATTTTGCTGAAATCAAATATTATGTTCCCCCCTATGCATATGCACTGCATTATTATTATATATTGTATGCATATTACATACATGTGTATGTTTATTCGCAGAACTTTAACTGCTCAATGTTAAATTTCAGTGCAATCCTAAAAATTAATTTAACTAGTCATCTAATCACAGTCAATGATAAAAAGTTTGAGGGGGGAAACCCTTAGAACAGCAAAAGAGTTAAGGTGGGAAATTAATTTACAGGGTTCGTAGCCACATTTTAGTTAAAAAAATAAGCACCTATAAGCACTTTTAAAGCACATTTTAAGGAAAAAATAAGCACCTGTCTAATTACATTATACACAACTGCATAACCTTAAAAGAAAAACTAGACTGGTAATTTAAAATATGAGCAGTATTTATTAAGATTCAGTATTAATTCAGTATTTATTAAGATAGAATGAGCATTACCTCAACCACGGAAAATAATTACACTGTTTTTTAAAATTTTAAATGACAGTTCAATTTACAGAACTGGTTTACAATGAGAGAAAACAAAACTATGCAGAATCTAACACTATATTACAAGATTTAATGATGAAATTTTCAGTTCAAAATATAGAAAATTAAATAATAAGCCATATTATTATTGTATTCGTTTGGCACCTAAATAATAAATACAATTTATTTTTCCACTCATATTAATATTTAAATAATTTAACTCAAATCAAAATTCTCAGCATTTTCTAAATTTTCATTGCATAACAGTTTTTCCTTAACATATATTCTAAGCAAAGTAAACTAAGCCACATACTCGAAAATTGCCAAATATTCCGGATAGTAACTGGAAAAAGAGGATTGGGGGAGATTGTAGCCATTCTTTAGATTTCTTGGCTAAATAAATGATTTTGACATTTCGATATGTGCATCATGTAAAAATAGACCAACAGAACTGAGAAATATTCAGCTTAGAAAAAGCACAGTAAAACTCTTAAGTGTTCATAAACAAATCTCAGACTGAACATCAAAATTAATTATCTTCGCAAAATACCGCAAAAGTTATTGCGCAAATGTTATTGCGATAGTGCAATACGTTATTGTGCAATACGTGCGGCGTAATTCTTCCACATGTGATATTACGCAATCGGAATCAACAGCTGCCGGTATTCCGAGAATAAAGAACTAAACAAAGGAAAAAAAAAAAAGAGACTTACTAATCTGGGGTGTTAATGATTCTAATTTTCAACAGACTGCATTAAATTTCCGGAATAGAATCAATCTTCGCTTGGGTTGGGTAGACTGCAAAAACTTTTAGTCCTATTTAATCCAGATTGGACAGCAACGAAAAAAAAAATTCCGCTGCTTCAATATTAGAGATTTTGTGGAGAAAGGGGAGAACCTCTCAGCCTCCATACTGTATAATGTATTGGCAAAAAAATGAAATTAATTTGACTATTAGATTACTTTCCCTTTATTTAATCCATTCCGAATATTATTCCTTAGAAAGCTAATCTGTGTAAAAACACACCCATTTTTGGAAATTTATCTATACTTCAGCAGTTACTGCAACTATACTGTTATAAATATTCATGCATATACTCATAATATAAGCATAACGATCATAACAAACACGAATATGAACTGACCACGTGGAACGAGAATGCAAATTATTAAAATCTTGATAGCAATTCAAACGTGTGTAGTATTTGGGTGGGAGGAAAAGAAAACCGAATGTACTGGAATTTTCTACCGTTTTTGCAATTCTTTGACCAATAGAACGACGTACACCTGTCTGTACTCTCACCCGCACCATAGGTTACGTTAATGCAGAGAAAGGGGGGGAAGGCAATTTCCGGGAGTATGATTCACCATCTTATGTTGCATACAAGGAAGAAAAGTTGTTTATTTAGTTTCGGCTTTGGTACGGGGAAAAAATGCGCGTTCATAAAAAAAAAAAAAAAAAAAAAAAAAAAAAAAAAAAAAAAAATAAGGGCTTTAAAGAAAAAGAAAGCACCTATAAGGGCTTTATATTTCATTTTCATATATAAGGACTTATAAGCACTTGTAAGGACCGCTATGAACCCTGATTTATCATCAGATAAGCCATAAAAAAATATTCAGATACTTTTGCTTATACATTCATTTGGCTGATTAAACTACTTTAAAATAGGTATAAAAAAGCGTCAAAACAATTACTTATATACAAGCATTTAATTTTTTTTTTTTTTTTTAAAGGAGGGAATAATAAAAGGAAACGATATAAGAAATGAAGCACCTAAACTTTTATGACCTGGTAGAAGTATCACAAATATTTTGTGCAGAGATACCATACATTAATTTGCATATTTATCTGGTATAATATAGTTTATAACAATACTCAGTTCTTTGATTTTTGATTAGTTACAAATAAACATTTACTTGCAATAAATAAAACACATAAATTGACTGTTCACACAGATAAAAGCTTTGAAAAAGTAAGCAATATAAAAAAATTTAAATTACAAAACAATTAGTAATATCTTACTTTTAAGAAAAATAATTTCTTTACATTATTAAATATTACAGCACAAACATAAAACACAAAGGAGCAAATACTTACAGGGAAGAAAAAAGCAGTGCCATAAATTTATGACATAACTTACAATCAAGCAATGCAGAATTGTTTTCACATACATACCTTACCAAATGACTCATTCAGTATGTGCAATATTAAAATATTTTCTTCAAAAACATCACAGATAAAATTAACATAACTGAAATATAAATTACTGATTAGAATTTACATCTAAACCCCCCCCTTAAAATACTTTAAATATGATTATTTTAAACACATTTTTGTAGTCATGCGACACATAAATGAACTAAAACTTATTAAACACAATTCATAAGAAACAAGAGTCAATTCTCAGTATGCTTTCTTATGTGTTTTGAAGATTTTTTGTAAAAAAATATTTTATGATAACCACACCATATATGTCTGCCACTTTTATGTAGGCACCAGTTACATTTAGTAGGACTCGAAGGCTTAAAGCGCAATTCTCTAACAAAGATATCACTTATCTTGAATATTTGTGCTGGCAATACAGCACTCAATTTCGCTGTAAAAGTCGAATGCATTGAAAGATGAAGAATAAAAATTGGTTTATAGTATATTGATAATTATCTGGAGCATGCACTTAAATCCAAAAAATGAGTAGAGAGCACGCCACATGGAGAAAACCGGCTCCACATGCACCTTACACTCACTTCATTGCATATGGTAGTATCAAATATGAATAAACTGCAATTGGCCCGCCAACTGCAACTTTTAAGCAATTTGAGCAGTCAGCAGCACAAGAATTTTTTTTGTACCTTATCTCAAATACTTGTGCATAACATACCAGACCCTTGAGTCTGAGCAGCTGAAGACGATGAGGCCTGAACCTTTGGCTTCTTTTGCACTATATATGCATGACTCAAGAAGTTTGCATAAAATCAAATCTGCTTTTTCATAATTTTTGAGCAAGATCTGTTATTCAGTATGTGTTCCTTTAACTTCCAAAGTCAAACTTTCATCCATTGTGCTCTCAATGGTATGTTTAACTTGGAAAGTCTTGACTAGGTTTATAAATCCAAATATCTATGCAAACTTTCATTTCCGCTTGGTGACAAATTCATGTAGAATATCCCTTGCCATCTGTAGGTCATTCCTTGCTATTCCCAGAGCTCTGATGACTTCATTCTGAGCATAACCTTCAGCAATAAGGGCTGCTATATGGTCCATATGTAGATTTTCATAACTAACTCGATTATTTTCCTTATTTTCTAGGGCATCTAAAGGCTTCCCAAATCTAAACCTAGAAAATGCGATATTCACATTTAAATAAAAAATATGTTTTAAAATTCATAAAATTCAAACTAAAAAAATAATTGAATCTTTTATTAGCATTTTTCAAATTCAATTTTATTTATGGGACTTGAAGATTTCACTTCAATGTAATTAACTGATGATGCGAACTCTAATCCCATTCCAAGTTTTACAGAAGGCTATAAATTGCACTTTTGGATCTATTTTAAAGCGATTCTGGCCTAAAGTTATTAAAGTTGTAGAGCCATTAGAATTTTTGGAAGCCGTAGAGATGAAAAATTAGCAACCGCCTTCGCTGGGAATCGAACCATGGACCTCTGGAATACCGGTCCAGCGAGCTACCGTAACACCACGAAGGCACGCTAGGGAAGTGGGAGAAATACCTTATAAAGTGTTTATTTAATTCCTTAATACATATGAAAATGCTTGAATTTTTGAAGTTACATACTTCTCATGAGGGCCGCATGACCATTAGAATGGTGATATTATGATATCTATATTCAGATGGTTCATTTGCTATATTCTAAAAAAAATATATATATATGAAATTTATTTGAATTTCCATTTTTGGTCTTTGTGATAAATTTACTCTAAATTACTTTTTTTTCATTATATATATATATATATATGAGGTGCATGCTAACTGCAGAATGGTAAAATATTGATACATGGCAGAAGTCAACAAAAAACTTAATTAAAAGACAAACACCAACGTAAAATTTAAAGTTAGGCAAAACCACCATATTAGTTGGGCATAGAATGTGATTAAAATTCTACCAGTTTCAAGGGTGATCAGACATAGGTCCCTCTTTATCAGGACAGGAATAAATAAATAAATAAAGTCCAATTGCAAAATAGGTGGAACAAAGCACGGAAATACAGCCATCTCTTGATGATGACAGTAATGAAATGAGCCATTTTCTTTAAAAGTGGTGCAAGTTCATTTCATGTTATATGGAGATACTTCAGGGTTTTTATTTGGATGGCTTGAAAAATACTAGTATATATTAATGTGCTCATTTTACATTTTTTTTTAAATATTAAAGTGATTTAAATGTATAATAAGAATGTTTTTATAGTTAAAAGAAATTTATACTTTTGATGACCTCAAATGGGCTTACACCACTTTCAATAATGAAATATTAAGTATGAGATTCCAATTTAATCAAACCACTTTTTAAAGAAATTTTGCCAAAAAATAAAAAGACAATTTTCTGAGGAAATGCCATTTTAATAAAACCTTTATTTTAATATGTGCCATTTTTAATTTCTTTCATTATGAGAATGTTTTTTGAAAACAGTCTATTGGAAGAATATAAGGTAATAGATCTATCATATATCATATCATTGAATTTTTCGTATGCAATGGGTCTATATAATGATGTAATGATGTTAGTATTATATTTTCAAATTTTAGTGGCCTTCTTTTGCATGGGGGATAAATCTAGTGTTTTAAACTCTGCATTTCAATCAACGAAGTTTTATACAGCATGGTTTGTTTTTTAAAACCCTTACCCAACATATTCTTCCGCCAATTTACCTCTTCAATTATTTTTTCATATTAGAATTGAATTTTCTAGTGGTTTCCTCGAAACAAAAATCACCTTCATGTAAAATAAACTTTGCAGTCTGTACATCGTTTATACACTGTTGTATGAAGGTATAATAATTTGTAGGAATACGCAGCAATTTTTTTTCTTGTAGTTATCTTGATAGTTCCAAAATTGTCACCATTTGATACATAAGAATGTTCCAGAATTTAAAAAAAAAAAAAAAGATAACTGATAATTTTTATTGTATTTTGGGAGGATTGTACAACTTTAAGGCATATTAAAGACAATTTTAAATTCGTATTCTGTCCAGTGCACACATCACCATATGCTACTGCATGTTGTAGCGTGGTTACATTTCCCAAATGCTTCAAACAACACAATTTCTGGCACCCCCAGATGCAATAGTTTTGTCTCATGCATACATATTGTTATCATCATAAAAATTGTCAAATCTCTCATTTAAAAACATACATATAATGTTTATAATATGCAATAGATGCTGACATCTTTGGATACAGCAATATCAAAAGCAAGTCAAAAGAAAAAGAGAAATATCTATCTAGATTTTGAGATGCCAAAATCTTATCTTCTTGCGCATTCAACATTTTTAAGTAAACATCATGGTCTTGGGTAATGCTTGCATTTTTAGCTTTGTTACATTTATTTTTTTCCAAATTTAGAAAATCACATTTTTGACATGTGTCTCAAAAATCTAGCATGTATAACACCAGAAAATATATTACACTATGTTATCTAGAATTAAACATTAAAAAGCTATAAAGACTTACCTTAATCATAAAATGTGCAAAATATATGCAGTAAAAAGTAAACTTTAATTAAAAATGTGAATTACAGTTTCAGGAAAATGATAAAATGGATGCTTCGTTTTGTTTATTATGCCTACATTTTTCAGCCAGCTTCTCGATTTGAAGTAAATATTTCAGTTTACTTTCAGAGGAAAGGTCAATCTGAATAAATGCTTCACAGTTTTATAGTGTCCATTATGGCTTGATCATCAAGACAATTAACAGTCTCTGCATTCTCTTCTTTTTCATCTTCTCGGATACTTTTATTATGTTATTGTCACTCAGTTTTCCACAGACTTCCAAGTCTTCATCTACCCTTACATAATAAGAAAAAATAACGTTATCACATTTAATATTTTTGAATTCAGGGAAAAAACTGTATCAATATCATCATATTCTTCAATATCATTGTTCTTTTTGGCATGCATGCATTTAGCATGACAAAAGCAATCACTGATTGTGCTTTCTGCAACAGCATCCCATGTGACATGAAGATTTATGCAAGTCTTTAATTATTTCTTCTGATGAAGAGGATTACGACTTGGACACATATAGTGTCTATGACTGAAGGATAGAGGTAAATTTTCTTTTTATACCCATAATACCTCATAAAATTCATTTTGTTTGACCAACATACCTCATATCACACATAAATATGCTATAAATGTAGGAATTGAGATGCAACCCTCCATTAGACAGTGCAACTTACATCTACAGTAGGAAGTCTCCAGGTTGGTTTTAGGAGTCTGAGAGAAGCAGTCTAACTCGAGCACTCATGAAGAAGCTACAGCAAGGTGCTTACTCATTGCATGTAGGTGATCAGACCTGGACTGATATAAATCGACTGCAGGTGGCTATACTGGATTATCCTTCTTTATAAACCTACTTGATTCATCTGTACATATGCATCCAATTCATCCTTTCTTTTGTGGTAATCATGAAAAAAATCTAATACTTGAAACCAGTGGGTGCGATTTCTGTCTACGCTGATACATCAAGATCACATAAATTCCCCCAAAATTAAAGTCAGAGATGGGATCTTTAAGAATTGAACAGCGGATTTTACTGATAAGTGGTAAAATGACTTCTAATTTAACTTCTGGACAATATGTGCAATTTTATAAATGATACACATATGAAATGGAATGATGACAAGGCTATTAAAATTATTTCTATCAGCAGAATGTCTTCTTTGATGGCAAGATGAACGTTTTTTAAAGGCTTTATCAACGGCCATGGTGAAAATCCTCTATTGATGACAACCACTTTCAAATCAACAAGTTCATGAGAAAGCAAAGATTGAGAAGACCAAATTTCAAGAGAGAAATATACATAACAGGAAAGCCATTTTTTTGCTACATGAGGCGATATGCATTAGCATGAGCAGAGAAATGAACAGAAAAAGATTTATGGAAAACAGAAATTCTTCAATTTGGTGAAAATAATCATTTTGGAAAATGAAATGAGTTTGAATCACAGAAACTTTGAGAAAATAATGAAATGGAATGATAAAAAGAAACTTCTCAAGAGATGGCACCATGTCTGCATTTGCTCTAACCACTGCTTTCAATATTAATATGCTTGTCACTCCTTTCATTTTGCAATTTTTTTTTTCTCCTAAAAAAGATGGCACTGTCTGACTGCCTTAGTAATTATTAGAGTTTTGTTCAAAATGTATGCTAAACTTAGTCTGCTGTTTTGTGCAACATTAAAATTCAACAAAATTTGAGTTTTAAGTTATTTGAAAAATTATCTAATTTTTAACTAGATATAACATTTAGGTGTAAAAAATGATTTTATTTTACAATATAATGACTATTACAGTCAAAAGTCATTAATCCGGACTTGTTGGGACTTCGGCGATTCCGGGTTATCGATTTTTCCGAATTCTAGATCATCAGTTTAAATCTGGTAAGATGGCATGCAGAAATTATAAAATTAAAAATATGAAACCGTAATTTATGAAATAAAGAAAAATTATGATTTAAAGGATATCAAAATTTACAAAAAAAAAAAAAAAAAAAAAAAAAAAAAAAGGGGGGGGGGCTTAATATTTATTTGTTTACTTTATTAAACATTTCTTTCAATGTAAGTTGTTTCGTTTTTTATGTGATAATGCATTCTCTTTAATTCTATAAACAGACATAATTTCTTGTTCAGTTACAAAGTTCCGCTGTCCAAGTCCTATAAGTGCTGTGTCGAGAATACAGACTAATTTGTCAATCGAAATTTTTTTGTTTTCAATAACCTCTGTTTTCCGATAGCCAAGAAAGTGGTTTCAATAACCACTTTCTTGGCTATCGGAAGCGAATTATAATGACGAGGAATTTGATTTAAATCATATCAAAGACGGAGTACATCGAGATGAAATAATACATTTAGTAAGGAATTATAAGCCAAATAAAATAAAAACATCTGCCCTGAAGATAAGGATAGTGCTGACAGATAAACTTCCAATTCATTGCGTACCGCGACATCCCCCCCCCCACGCACAGGCAGTGGCGTGTAAAATTGATAAACAGATTTTGGAATGGTTAGATAAACAAAGGATATGCCTTTATCCATTTTTTGCAGCAATTCCACTTTTTGTTTAATGGACTTCGAAACATACTTTCGCTTTGTAGATCCTTTACATATTAGTAAATATATATCAGAAATTATTTTTGACATAATCGAAAGTTCAAGCTTACTTTTATAAAATTGCTCTAACAGTCTGCAAAAAGTAATAAGCTGGATCCAATTCGAAGATTAAGGAACAACACAATCTGCAACATTAACTGAATTAGATAATTTTAGCTTAGCTTATACTGTCCGTTATACATTAAACGCACATTCGTAAACGTATTTTGCGCACGCGCCCACGCCTATTCGCAGCCGTAAAGGTCTTACGCTATTAACTCAACGTGACGCATGAGCAGAAAGTTTGTAGCATTGAGGTCTGGATTATAGATCATTCCGAATTATGGGTGTCCGAATTAATGACTTTTGACTGTATTTAATATTACTTAAGGTGTTAAAATTTTTACACTGTTGAACTATATATTATTAGCTGCATTTTTCATAAAATTGTAATTATATAATATTGTTATTTACAAATATAATATATTTTTAGCAGAGTTTTGCTTGTTTTATGTAAGATTACAGTAAGGCCTAATGTATAATCAAAGACCAGGAACAGTGTTTCAGAAATATTTCATGGAATTAAAAGCTATTTAAATGAGAATTGTGTCCTTCTATTTTGAAAAGCAAGTTAATTCATACCATCTCCATAAAATTAAGGCGATGCAATTACTTTCAGAAACGGTTCCTTTTCAAAAGATAATAAATTAAATGCATTTAACTCTTCATATTCTGCATTTTTGGATTCACTCCTGATGAACTGTTCATATACAACATTTATCAGATTTGTAAAATGGCCCATTTAATTCTCTGCTTTCATAAATTTTGATTACTTACAAGAGGTTTAACTTCAATCAGAAGGATCATGAATTTGAGTTTAGCACAGGCAGTAAATTCTTTGAAAATTTGACTGGATCCATTATTTATAATCTCACAGTACAATTGCTTGCTTTCCCATTTGTTAATAAAGATTCTCATTTTAAATAATTCATATGTTTGCAGTGCACTGGCCTCTTCTTATATGGTTTCTAAATCATTTTGCTAAAAATTCAGTGACTGATTTAGCAATCTTTTTATCACAGCTAAACAGTTTATTATTAATAATAAACATTATGAATATTGTATTTCAAGATAAAGGTGAATAACAAAAAATTACATTACACTGAAGAAAGAAAGTAATGAAGTTATTCGCTATCATGATCAACCACATTATACAGTGATTTCTAAATTACGTTACATATTTTTGCAAAAAAACATCATGAGAATGAAAAGGTACAGCCAAGACAAGAAAAAGACTTGTTCTCCCAACAGTATATAATACACCCTTTCTTTAAATATACTATGACTTTTTCTAACAATTCTTGTTTCAGTTCTGCATGTTTTTGAAAAGCAGTTGCAGCATTTCATTTTCTGCCGCCTTTTTCACTTTTCCTCTTATTTTCTTTGCACTGAGCATCTCTCCCCCCTTAAAGTAATCATATATTGGATCATAAGGAATTTTTTTTTAAATAATGAATTCAAATGAAAAAGTACAAAAACATAGGAAAATTTTATGGAATCATATACGCACCACTTTGTTCTATGACCTTTTGTCATCTTTGTGGCAACTGGAAAATTCAATTTTTAAAGTCGTTACATTTATTCATAAAGAAGTTATCTAGGCATTGTTTAAGTCTCCACATAAGTGAACTCAGTTGTTCAGAGAATTTTGAGGTTACCTAAAAAAATGAAAATCAAGGGGTGCAAAACTTAGTGAATATGGGAAAGGGAATGTCATAAAACTCCCTATCATACTCAACGAGTCTTCAACATCCACTGAAATGTGGGCTCAACATTGTCGTAATTGAAAATATCATCTTGAGGATTCAAGTTCTAAGCATTTTGCTTCAATTTCTGCCTTGAAAAACAGCCATTTGGGATCAGTATTTTTCTGAATTTACTGGCTGATTTGGTGGCAACAATTCATAGTATACAATGCCTTTGTAATTCCACCACACACAAAGCATTACTTTTCTGAAATGCAACCCCCTCTTGATATTATTAAAGAAATTTTCATAAAATTTTGGCTTACTCCATGATCTTTTTCTTGTACCATATCCACTTCTCAGTTCCAGTAATGAGATGTTTAATAAAATGAACTTACTATGTTTTTTAGAAAATAATCACATCTCAAATCTTGAGCAAGCAGAAAAATTGGGGCAAATATATAAATACATGCTGTTGAATTATTTTGAAATTTCTCCAAAGGACTGTGCCAGCAATATTTTTAAACTTTAATTTCACCGATTTTTGTGCATTTCACTCGAACAAATCCTAATTCACAATAATTAAATTTTGTTTGCAATACTTTTTCTTATTTAGGGAAGTATAAGTTAGAAGCAACAATTCAAAAAAACGATGTTTAAAACATCCCATGTAGCATTCACATGAATATGAATATATATATATATAATTGAAATAGAAATTGTAAAGCTAACTAGCAAGACCTATTTGGTCTCAAAAATTTTTGCGCATAATGCTGCAAAAAGGTACGAAATAGTAGTAGGTAGAAACATAGCAGCGATCTTGCTAAAAAGTTACCAGGAGCTGTAGCTCCACGAAATATATATATATATATAGGGTGCGGCAGAAAGGCTCCCCAATTTGGAAAGATCACAGCTACAGTTCAGAAAGGAGTAACAAGGCAGGCAGCGCATTGTTGAATACTAAATTTTGTTAGACCAGATCAAATCACAGCATGGTCATGACAACATCACACTTTCACTGTACAGCAGTTTATTCACAGAAGATCACTGACACTCACACTGCGATCTTTCACAATTTCTTGGCACTTGATTGACAGGACCCTGTTTCTGATTTAAAAAAAAAAAAAAAAAAAAAAAAAAAAAAAAAAAAAAAAAAAAAAAAAAAAAAAACCATTTACAGTTGTTCAACTTTAAAAGCTCTGAAAGAGGTGATACAGCAGAAATTTGTCATTATGCCCAAAATGACTTTCAAAGTACTCAACAACTATACAGAAAGGCTTAATCAGTGCATAAAAAATTCAAGTTACTACTTGAATGACATTTTATTTAAAACAACAACAAACAAACGAACAAAAGAAAAAAAAAAACACTGAGTAAAATGGCATTAGGTGTACTTTCAGTAAATGAAACTTCTCATATCGTATTTGGTTTGGATTTTATTAGCTTCCCAAGTCAGAGAGTTTTCTCTGCCGCATTTTGTATATATAAATTCACTTTGGAAACATTTTGACTAATACCTTTTCTCAAGTTTAGATATATGGGCTGGGGGCTGTTGTGGCGAGGAGGATGATGGTAATCCCACTTCAATGGAGGTTCGAGTATTCTGAGATCCAGCTGCAATATTCACTAGAGATCAAGAAATTCAATAAGAAAAGAGATAAAAAATTTTCACTGATATATCCATAATTAATTTACATAAAATTTAATAAATTGACACAGTTTTCAATAAAATTATTACAAGTATCCATATAATGTAATAATATGCTTATAGTGAAAATTAAGATTAATGTTTGTAATCTGTCACATGATAATTCCTAAACAGTTGAGCAGTACATTCACCGCAATAGTAAATTTAATTCCACTCTCCATTTCATACAAATATCATAAATTAATACTCCTAGAATCTACTTAACTTTTGCTTGCATGATTATCATGACCTTCCCAAAAAAGTTTGAAATTTTATTTATGCTGAATTAAATCTACACTACTGATTATACATTAATGAGCCAAAACATTATAACCATCCCCACATTTTTCAGTGAACTCGTCTGGATGACATGGAGGGCAGGTGATTGGTAATTAACTGCTGCTGAAGAAGGCAAGGAATCATTCTTGCGCTACTTTTGCGAGTGATGGGAAGGGTTGCTGATCTAAGAGAATTTGATAGAGGGCAGATTGTAATGTCCCGAAGATTCGGAACAAGTATCTGGCCCGACTGGTAGGTTGTTCATGATCTGCTATTGTTAATATTTATACAGAGTGGATAAATGATGGTGAAACCAGCAGTAGATGTCAAGGTGTTGGACATCTACGTATCATCAAAGAAAAAGGACATAGGAGACTGTTCCGCTTGATACAGAAAAATCAGTGCCAGATAGTGGCTCAGCTGACAGCCTAATACAATGCAGGTTTAACTGCAGTTCAGTGTATACTGTTGAAGATGGGATTGCATAGAAGATGTTCCACTTGTGTGTTTCTTGACTAAGCATTATCGTCAACTATGCTTACAGTGGGCTCAGGAACATCATCAATACTGGACCACAGATAAATGAAACTATCTTTGTCGGATGAACCACGATTTCTCACTCATTATCTTAATGGTCATGTCAAGGTATGGCATCTTCCAGGCGAACAATTGCTGCCCCCTCCATACAGAAGAGCATGCACAGGCTGTTGGTGGTGATATTATATTTTGGAGGAAGTTCTCATGGGTGACTCTGAGCCCTTTAGTTGTGGTAGAATAGACCATAAAAACTGCGGACTATCTGAATATAATTGCAGATGAATTGCACCCTTACATGCTGCCTGTCTTCCCAAGTGGAAATGGAATCTTCTAGCAGAACAACCCACCACGTCACAAGGCTCGAATTGTGTTGGAGTGGTTCGAGGAGCATAAGAATGAATTCCAATGATTGTCCTGGCTACCTAACTTGCCAGATTTTAACCCGATAGAGCATATTTGTGATGTCATGAAGCCGCAGCTCAGAGCTCAAACAACACCATGTCGGAATACTTCAACAATGCATGACCACTGCTTAGATATTTGGTACAACTCGTTTCCAGTCATCTACCAAATACTTGTGGATCCATGCCAAGGTGAGTTGCAGCTGTTTTGCATGCCAAAGGTCACGCAGCGCGTTACCAAGTAAGTTGTCATAATGCTTTGTTTCTTCAGTGTATATGATGGAAACATATGGGGGAAAAGACAGCATATTTATTTCAAAAGAAAATCTGCCTGCCTTTAGCAGAAATAAGAGCAAACTCAAAATATATTTAAGGTAAATTTTATTTAATTTGTTATTATCTTATGGCATAATTTAGTTTAAATGTACATAATATTATTACATATATGAAATTAGCTTGAGGCCTGATGGGTACAAAGTAATAGCTCTGTAACATAGTTTTTATGATTTCAGAGCTTTTAATTAGTTTTTTTCATCGGTTTGAACCAATCGTATTACCCCTTAACTCACAGGTTATCTTAAAATGAATATAGAACAGCATAAACAATATGTGTGTATATTTGTGCATATATAGACATATACCTACACATTTGTACACAAAATACACACACACACATATATGCATACACAACCACTATTACCATATATGCTGCAATACCATGAAGAAGTATAGAAATCAAAATCATATTAGCTGGACAAATAATATACGGTACAAATGTGAACTGATTAAAGTTATAGCATATAGCATGTTTAACGTGCATAACATAAAGAAATCAATATTTTGTATAGCCACCGTGGCTAGAAGTAACTGCTAGAGGACATTTCCACATTTTACTTTGGATGTGTGATTAAGGAATATCAGTTCACACTGTTTTCATATATTATCAAAGTTATAATGTCACAGCAAGAGATATATGCTAGATCACTCATTTGAAAATCATTGACAATATGTATTCAATAAACAACTTATCAGAAGATTATGTAGGCCAACAAAACTTATGACTTGGTGGGCAATGAAAAATTGTTGAATACAGTGTAGGCAAACCTTAAAGGTAAGGGAAGACGACAGACTCCAAAGCTTCAGAATGGTGAATGTTAAATTTGCCAGCAATGCATTTTACAGTAAATATATTAATAATTATCCAAATTAATTATCTAAATTGCTTTCAGAATTGAAGAAAAAAATTACGATGGAAACATACTGCGATTTGCAAAATAATGATTTTTTCCATATGCAGTGTTATCCTCCCCTGCATGAAGCTAGTGTAGGTGCAGCATGAACATTACTGGGATGATGAGTCACCATCTCATAGTGCAGTTCTATTATTGGCTACAGTACTGTCGCTGTTTACAAGTGGCTGGCCCGACCCCACCCAACTGTTACTGTTTGTTTTGATTACTAGTCACTCAGTCATTGACCTGCTACAGTACTGTGACAGTACTCTTTCACGTTGGTGTGTTGTTTTGCTTGTGAGTGCATTTCGTCATTCATCACCACTCCTAAAAGAAAACATGTTATCGTTAGCTGATAAACTAAAAATTATAGAGCAATCAAATAAGAAGTTATGGGTAAACAGTTGGCTAAGATGTACCGTGTTGGACAATGTACGATTTCAGATATTAAAAGGAGCCAAACCTACACTTTAATGTCACCGCTTGAAAACAAAGATGGAAGTTCTTCAAGAAAATCAATGAAAGCAGCAACAAACAAAAATTTAGAAGATGTCGTTTTCAAGTGGTTTTTGCAGCAATGTTCAATAGAAAACCCAATTTCGGGACCAATTCTTTGTGAAAAACTAAGATCTTAGACTCAGAAGCTTGGTTACTCATCCTTTAAAGCAAGTAACAGCTGGCTAAGAAATTTAAAGTGCAGAAACAGTGTCCATGAATTAGATTTAACTGGTTAGAAGTTATCAGCAGACTCCAAAGCTGCAAAAAGATTTTATTGAGAAAGTTTTACTTGTAGCAGACCTCCGTACTGCTACAATGCCGATGAAACCGGTCTTGTTTGGAAAGCTTTGCCTAAAACCACTTTAGCATCTAAAAGGGAGTGTTGTGCTCCAGGACATAAAGTTAGTAAAGACTATGTTACGGTGCTTACCTGTGTGAACTCTACTGGAAGCCAAATATACCCCCTTCTGTTGTTTCCGTTTCACTTCAGCCCTGAGGTGAAAAAGCACCAAAAATCTCTTGGAAAAGAAGGCAGTAAAGTAATTTTGATTGTTGATAATGCACAAACTCACCCCATTGGAGAGTTGTTAGAAAGAAGGGATGGCCAGTTTGTAACAATCTTTTTACCACCAAACGTCACAAGCTTGTTGCAACCAATAGACCAGTCTGTTATCGAAAACATGAAACGAAATTACAGAAGGTAACTTTTAAGGAAACTTTTGGTAAAAGTGAAGACAAAAAAGGCACGTGTAACAAGTATACGAGCCAGTTTCCCTTAGAAAGTCCTCCACGAAGGCATCCCTTCCCTTAGGCAGATAGCACTTGAGGCTTTGCCGTAATTAAATAACCTAACCTAACCGAAGACAAAGAAGGCACGCTGACTAACCACAACAAAAATAATTTGAAAGACTGTGCTTACACAGTGGCAGAAGCTTGGAGCTTGGTTAAGGCAGTCGCATTAAGACGAGCATAGAATAAGTTGAAAGGCATACCACTGAAGGAAAAGGAGAAAAAGGAAAAAGAAGCTCAAGAAGAGACAGGAGAAGATCAAGATGATGTGTCACTTGAGGAATTAAGAAAACATTCTTTTGAAAATTCCTGGATGTTCAAAAGTCAGTGCTGAGGATACAACAGATGGCGTGTGATTTGTCAGACCCTGGGTTTTAAATTCTAAATACTGATGAACTTATTGAAAGTGTGAGAGAGAAAGTGTCGTAAAAGTGTTACCTTTTTATTTTAATTAATTAAAACCTCTTTCTCTTTAAAAATAGTTTTCCCCCCTCCATTTTCAACATACAGTAATTAATTAAAGTATACATACACCCTTCTTTCAGAAAAAATCTAATTATTCAAAAGGGTTATGGTCTCAGTTGATTCGGTTAACTGGAGTTCTACTGTACATGTACAATCCAATGGAATCATCCTAATATATGCCAGCTGGCACACAGTGGAGCTCGAAGCCCATTGGAGAACTGGAGAACGACGTTTCTGGATACGTATAATGCTCTCACTCACAAAGCAGAAGCTATCTGATTCGCAAGGTTTTGTTTTAGATATAATGTAGAGAAAATTCAATTGCTTTCAGACGTCCAAAAGCACTTTTTTTTAATTCATTTAACACAGTATTAAGCCAAATTGCATAAAAATAGTGAGAAATTTTAAGAATAAGAAAAAGTCGGGAGAAATATATTGTAAATCGGGTTGGCGGGAGAGCGGTCGAAAATCGGGAGAGTTGGCAACTCTGTATCAGGTTTATATTAGAAAACTTTCTGTTTTTCTAAATCAAAAACAGTGCCCACGATAACCGGAAAGTGATCAAGGAAAGACCTCCACTGGTGGGATATCCATTACGGATCACGTCAATATATACATTATATGTAATAATATATAATGTATATATTGAAGTAAATACATTATATACCAAAATATAATGCCTGTGTCATAATATATAATGACCACTCAAGGCATTATATATAATAGCCTATTAAATCA